TGAGAGACACCCCACAGCCCCACTGAGAGACACCCCACAGCCCTCCTGAGATGCTCTGCTGGAGAAATCAGGCCAGCATTTCTCAGGCCTCGGAGCAGCACAGAGTATGTAGCTTCATATTACTAGGCATTGCTGTATAATGTATTGCTGGGATTTGTAGTCCTCTATAGCCGGTGGTATTATTCTGCATTGCTGTATAATGTATTGCTGGGAGTTGTAGTCCTCTATAGCCGGTGGTATTATTCTGCATTGCTGTATAATGTATTGCTGGGATTTGTAGTCCTCTATAGCCAGTGGTATTGTTCTGCATTGCTGTATAATGTATTGCTGGGAGTTGTAGTCCTCTATAGCCGGGGGTATTATTCTGCATTGCTGTATAATGTAATGCTGGGAGTTGTAGTCCTCTATAGCCGGGGGTATTATTCTGCATTGCTGTATAATGTAATGCTGGGAGTTGTAGTCCTCTATAGCCGGGGGTATTATTCTGCATTGCTGTATAATGTAATGCTGGGAGTTGTAGTCCTCTATAGCCGGGGGTATTATTCTGCATTGCTGTATAATGTAATGCTGGGAGTTGTAGTCCTCTATAGCCGGGGGTATTATTCTGCATTGCTGTATAATGTAATGCTGGGAGTTGTAGTCCTCTATAGCCGGGGGTATTATTCTGCATTGCTGTATAATGTAATGCTGGGAGTTGTAGTCCTCTATAGCCGGGGGTATTATTCTGCATTGCTGTATAATGTAATGCTGGGAGTTGTAGTCCTCTATAGCCGGGGGTATTATTCTGCATTGCTGTATAATGTAATGCTGGGAGTTGTAGTCCTCTATAGCCGGGGGTATTATTCTGCATTGCTGTATAATGTAATGCTGGGAGTTGTAGTCCTCTATAGCCGGGGGTATTATTCTGCATTGCTGTATAATGTAATGCTGGGAGTTGTAGTCCTCTATAGCCGGTGGTATTATTCCGCATTGCTGTATAATGCATTGCTGGGATTTGTTGTAGCAGAAGAAAAAAAAACCTCCATCTCAGGGGTGGGCAACCTCGGCACTCCAACTATGCTAAAACTGCAAACCCAATTGTGCCCCTGGTTGTTTTCTCTTCACTTCCTGTTCAAGAGACGCAACAGGAAGTCCCCCATTGGCAGAGGGGACAGAAACAGAAAAAATAAATACTTACTCTATCCCAGGGGTAGGTAACCTCGGCACCCCAACTGTGCTGAAAGTACAAATCCCATCATGCCTCTGCAAGTGGGAGACTTCCTCTCGCTTCCTGTTGCGTCTCCTAGACCGGAAGTGAAGAGAAAACACCCCGAGGGGACAGAAAGAGATAAATAAATACTTGTTATAACCCCGGGGTGGGTAACCTCGGCACTGCAGCTGCTGCTGAAACTACAAATCCAATTATGCCTCTGCCAATAGGAGAATTAATTTCACTTCCTATTGTGCTTTCTGGACAGGAAGTGAAGAGCAAACAACCCCGAGGGGACAGAAGCATAAAAAAAAAAAAAACTCTGTCCCAGGGATGGGCAACCTCGTCACTCCATCTGTGCGGAAATTGCAAATCCCATCATGCCTCTGCCAATGGGTGCCATAGCTGATGCCTGAGTCTTGCAATGCCTCATGGGACCTAATCAGGGGGCGTCCCGAGGCTGGGTGACACCCAGAGCGGTTACCGGGTGTCACACCGCCGAGACGTCACTGCGCATGCGCGATTACGTCATCGCGCGGCAATCTTCTGATACCTGCCGGCGGCCATCTTGGTGGATAAGGTATGCCGCCGGGTCCCCTCCTCTCTCATGATACTGTCAGTCATGTTGGTGTCACCATGGTGCGGGCCCCACCCCCCTTGTGACGCCACTGCCCCTAATCAACCCATTCCGTGTCTGCGCTCTCCAGGTCACATGACCCCAGATTTTGTATTCTGTCCCCTCGGTGGAGTTCTCGGGCTCTGAACGTTCCTCCCTGTGACATCTCCGGGACGTCGCCTTTGTTTTATTTTGCTCTGAATAAAGAATCTGACGATCGGCGGCGGCGGCTGCGAGATCTCAACTTTATTCACTTGTTAATTAGCCGCTTCCTGCCCCTAATGAAGCGAGCGCGCCGGCTGCGGATTAACATTCAGCCGCCGCGACGTCTTGTTTACGCTTCCAGATGTTTTCTCTTTTATCTGCGAGTTCCCGCTGACAGCTCCGGCGAGATGATAAATCACTCGTATTACCGGCCGAGAAGCGCATTGCGAAATTGAAATGTGGCGACGCTTGAAAGCGCTCCGAGGATCGAGCGTCACTTAGCGGGTCAATAATCGGATGGCGGCTGCGGCGGCGTATTAGGAACGAGGGGCGGAATTGATGTCCATATTACAGACGTTGTTACACGGGATGATGAGTGTCTGCACTGCAGATGACGAGGGTTAACCGCCGCGCCCGCCGCTCAATCAGTTGATAACTAGCTGGGAAGGTGCGTGCGGGGGAGGTGGGGAGGGGGCTCATTACTGAGAAGATTCCGCGCTCTGCTGTTCAGCAATGGACAACTTCCTCAGAGACCGCAACATACAGGTACCCATAAAGGCCCCATTCACACTAAGCGACATACCTCACAAACGGATCCGCGCGACCGTTCGGGGCGACGTTCCAGCGGCCTTCACTGTCGGGCTGCATGCAAAAAAAAAATCGTGCGACATCCGCGGGGAAAAAGGGTCCCGCACAAGCGCCGAGCGACATGGAGCTCCGTTGAATATAATTGGACGGCGACTTCTCGCCATATCGCGGATACATGAAACGCTGGCCCTGTTCACACCAGGGCGCATTGTAAACGCGTGTCAAATGTGCACAAAGGTGTGCGCTTCAATGCATATTCATGATACGCGCCACAAACGTGGAACGTGCTTGCGTTGACATTGCTCGGTAATGGCACCCCAAACGCAGCCATGTAAACGTGGAACACGTGTCGCCAAATCTGCGCATATTATTTTTTTCCTCCGTGTCGCACGTCCAGGGACCCAATGGGGACTAACGCGGGGAAACAAAGTGTCGCAAATGTGCGGGAAAGTGAGTTCCCACTGTTCTCTGGTGTGAATGGGGGCTAAACCTTCAGCTCCTGCGTCCTCTCTTTCGCCGCCGAGGAACTGCAATCCCGGCACTACATGTAGTGCCGGGATTGCAGTTCCTCGGCCCGGCTCCCCGCCATGTTGTTGTTGCTTTGCAGCCATGGACACAATTTAATGACGCACGTTTGTTGACTCGTCTCTTCCTCGGCTGAAGTGCAGCTGTCGCAGCGCCCCGCATTTCAGGGTCACAGGGAGGATATAATTGATTGTCTGCGGCTCGCGGCCCCCCCGAGGACTGCGCAGCCCTGCTGGGTTACATGTTACAGACAATCGTTTGGAATATCAGCCGGCAGAAACCAGAAGCGCGTCCTCCGGGGGCCGGGCTAGGGCCCCCGCTGCGAAAATGGCTCGCGGTGCGTCTTAAAGGAAACCCGCCGAAAAACATTTCTCCCCGCAGTCGGCGGCAATTTCACACAAACTTGATTTTGCCCCATTGCGGGTTTTGCCTCTAATTGCAGCGTGCGGCCTGAACGAAAAATGATCCTCCGTGCAGCCGGGCGAGTCCGCGTCCGCCCCACCATTGTGTGACATTGCTTTGTTAATAAACAAAGCCGTGTTTACTGATAAAGATTTGTTTATCAATAAAGCTGTGTGACCTGCCACGTGGTCAGCACTGACATAGCGATCACGTGACTTTGTTTACCAACAAAGGGTTGGCACGAGGTTGAGGGGTTACCCTTTCAACTGTCCAGGGTAGGTAGCCCTCACGAGACATTTAAAGCCCACTGTACCCAAATCACCAAAATTTACCTTAATTTTGCCTTCCCCAAGTATTGTGACAAATGCCAAAATTTTAGTGAAGCAAGAACTCTCAATTTTGGTCATCTCCAGTCACAGCACAGGTCAACTCCCAGAAATGGTGCTCAGTCTGGGGCTGGAAGACCTCTGCAGTGTCCCGCTCAGAGATGAGTCTTACTGGGATTAGCAAGAATTGGGCTCCTGTGTCTAGTTTTCTAATATACATGATCATGTGGGTGGCCATATTTCCTCAGTGTTTGTTCATGCTGTGCTTCATGACGTGTTAACCCAGCACAGTGTTAGATTACTTATCCTGTCATATGTAAGGCAAGATCATAACACACAAGAGACCTCCAGCAGTGGCAAGCTCAGGCAACAGGTCTGGTCATAACTAGGGATGCCAGGCGGCATGCAATGACTTGCCACCCGGCTTCCTGATTTTAGCCGGGAAGCCGTCTCCATGCTCCCTCGTCAGAAAGAAAGCATGGAGCCGGCTTTCTGGCCAATCAGAAAGCCGGGCGCCGTGTAAGGACGCATTGCCCGGCTTCCTGATTGGCCGGGAAGCCAGCGGCTCTATGCTCCCCGGTCACCAGGTGACGAGGGAGCATGAAGCCGGCTTTCTGGCCAATGAGAAAGCCGAGGGGGGGGGGTGTAATAACTCACTGCCCGGCTTCCTGATACCGTGAGCTCAACTATCGGGCTAGGCATTGGAGTATTTGGGCGAGTACAATTATTCGCCCCAAATACTTTGCATCGGCACCGATACTCTCGGCCCGTACTGGTCCTCTTAGTCCTGTATTGTACTAGTCCATACTGGCCATTTTAGTCCATACTGGCCATTAGAATTGGCAATTCAGACAAAATTCAGGAAAAAAATTGGATTTGTTTGAATTCGGATGGAATTGAATTTGAAAATTGGGATTGTTCACTTCAGAACATAGAAAACGTTCACGTCTAGCCGCTGTCGGTCACTGTGCTTTGCTCTTTGACATCTTTACTGAATATCCCTGACCCCTGTCGGCTTGTATGCCATGAAAAAAAAATAAAAGCACGTAAAAAAAACTGTTCATTTTTTGGGGGGGAAATTGTTACAAAATTCCATATAAAATCTCTTTCCTTTTAAAACTCTCATTTTGTTTCTTTTTTTGTCTTCCAGAAAACAGATCCTACATCAAGCCTCCGATCATGTACTGAAGACGGGGTAGGAGGTTAGGGTCTGCAACTAACACTGTTGAAGAGGAAGGTGACCGCGGCCTCTGCTGCCTTCGATGTAAAATAAAAAGGATCATCGAAGTGCGGAAAGAAAAAGTACTTTCATGGACTGTTCCGGCAGTTGTTGCATCACCAACTGTCCCACCAGAGAATGCAGAGAGCGATAAGGGACAA